TTACAGCATAAATGACAGGTGACATGGCACCCGGAGAGCGACACCTCAGAATGGCTGCTCGCTCTGCTTTCTTCTTCGTTTAACCCCCCTATTTATAAACAATGATGCTCCCTCTTCTGGCCAATCACCAGTCTCCCCTGTCTACAACACACTTCCGGTCTGTTGTATATGACGTCACACCCAAAACATTCCCTCTTGATACTAACACAAACAACATTCCATTTCTTCATGAAAAACATTTAACAAAGGCATAATCTTCAGATACGATATTAGTCTAGCGAGCAACTATTTTAGCCAAGTAGCCTAGGACAACAAAAACTAAAAGCGTGTACTGTATGACAGAGTCATAGACCGTTTAGGCAACATGAAAGAGAATGGCATTGCTGGCGTTTCTCTACAAGTAGGGTGAGTCAACATGTGTTTCTGCTTGCACAAACGCACACACACACACACACACAGAGAGAAATCAGTACCATGGACAGCCACATCATATTTAGCTTACGTTGATTGGACTAAATCGTTTTTGGTATATTTAGTTGTCACTGTATTAGACTAAGCACAGGTGATTAGATGTTGAAATGTTGTAGTTGAAAAATGGTACTGGAATAGTGGAGGCAGCTCCTGTTATTCTTTGAGACTTGCGGGAACTCTCCGTGGTTCTAAATCAATAGTTGTTCAGTAGAAGCATTACCTTGCTTGACCATAATGTAGGCCACGTAACTGTTTACTACATGCAATATGTTTTGTGGACTTCACTGGACAGAGTTTGCTCTCCGGTGTTGTAATTAAATACAGGTGTGGTTGAATTTATTCAGCCACGGTTTATTCTTATTGTCTTGGCCTTTAGGCCGATATATCACGGTATCAAGGCATATGAACAGGTTATAGCGCAAACAATGCAATTATCACAACACATAGGTTGGAATATGGCTTTTTTTCTGGATTGGCTTCCCCAGTGATTTTACCCGCGCACACGCATTCTGAGGTCTATTTTATAAGTACGGAGTGTTTATAAATGAGGCCCCTGGACTTTATTGCCCTGTTGCAGATGTATCAATAAGGCATTGGTATATAAAGGTAATAATTGAATGATTATACTAATGTGATATCATAAACATAGCACTTGGTAGGTTCAAAACCTGGAGGACCAGATCTAACCATCACTTACATACACTTGATATAAACCCCCCTCAGTCTTGGGGTAATGTCAGAATCTATCATTGTTGCTAGAGTAGGGAAGATGACCTCTTGACATGTAGTTTAATATATGTGGTGGTTGCACTGCATAGCCCCTAGACACAGCCCAAGAGATGTATTGTCATTGTGAAAGTAACCCATAGAAGCTAGAATACATTTACACAGCACCATTTCCTCTTCTCGGCTGTCTCGAGATTATGTGACTGGGTCTAAACTGTCAAAGGACCATCACTTTGATGTGCTTAAGTTTAACTTTTGATCTGTTGTAGGTCTGAGCAGAAAATATTGGACTAACGTTTGGTTCTGCAGTTGGTCATTATGTGTGGAAGACGTGCATTCAGGCTTTCTCTGCTTCTGCTGGTGTGGGGTGTGTGCACAGCCTTTGAAGGTAAGACGTGTCCTTTTCTCAAACACACAGCATGCATGTACAGTTTGTACAACACTGAAAAAGGAGAGAGGTCCTGTCCTCATATTTCATTTGTGAAATGTTAATGCCATTAGCATTACCTCGTATAACAAAAGGAGTTCCACTCAGCACAATTTGAACTGCATTTAGGGAAGCAGCAACATTTGAGTCAGAATATTGTCATTAATTTATATATGTGTAATTATTTTTTATGCACCTTTCTCTAATGCAATAAATTGTGCATTGCAATTGTAATGCTAGTCAATGCAAAACAAACATTTTAAATGAAACAATAGACTTACAACCCATTTCCCTTCCAGTGGCGGCTCCTGAAAAAATTCTCAGGAGGGGCAATTTTTCTGATGATTTAGGTGACCTACACACATTTAAAAAAAGATATGTCCAGCAACAACATGAAGACAGGGGCAGCATATAAGTCAATACCAGAAGCATTTATTGACTGATCTCAAAAGTGTTGGCTTACCAGGGTTGGTGGAGCCCTCAGTTTCATCTTTGCCTCGCAAAGCTAACTCAAACACTCCGCAAAACTTCACACACTGGATTAGCCGGCTGAGGATGTGGCGGTTCTTGCTAATGTCGTAGTAAATATATTTGTTATAGTGAATATGGAATATGATATGTTGAGTAAAATGTTGTGCTAAGATCTATTTAGGTCAGGAGCTGGTTATAAGTTCTGTTCCTATCCAATAACAATGGACAAAAGGGTCCTATCTTGTCAGCCTTGTCAGCAGGTGGCCAAGGACAACACCCACGCCATAGGCCTCTCAGTTCTTCCAACTCACGAGTTCTTGCTCTGAGGACACACACACACACAAACACACACACACACACATCATCACTGTTAAACACACACACACACACACATCATCACTGTTAAACACACACACACACACACACAAAAATCCCCTCTCTTAGGCTGAACATTTGAAGACAGAGAACCCGACTCAGAGCCAATGCAACAGTGACAGTAGCCTGGAGGGGACCTCGCCCAACTCATCAGGACCAATCAGAAGATCAGAACTACTAGATTCAACCTACTTCATTTATTGCATAAAATGTCTGCACACAATGTTTCGGGGCTCTCTTCAGATAATAATAATAATAATAATAATAATAATATGCCATTTAGCAGACGCTTTTATCCAAAGCGACTTACAGTCATGCGTGCATACATTTTTGTGTATGGGTGGTCCCGGGGATCGAACCCACTACCTTGGCGTTACAAGCACCATGCTCTACCAGCTGAGCTACAGAAAGTGGATACTCATGGATGCGCATTGCAATTGTAAAATGTCAACACAATTGGAGACACCACGTCATTTTTGGAGACATGTTATAGACAGTAAACTATTGTAGATGCGACTGCTAACTAAATAAAACATTTTAGCTGGCTAGCTAATCATCTTAGCTAAATGTGGGGCAAACAATTCAGTTATTTACCGTTAATTTGAGGGATTGGGGTGAAAGAAATCGAGTTACATAGTGATACTTTACGATATACTGTATTGACAATATCGCAATATTTTAGCGCTAGTTGGCTGTACCTGCACCAAAACACCATTATTGTTCCTTCATAGCTTGTTCTCAATCTTTTCACATTGGGAGCCAATTTGTTTTCAGCACTTTTATTTCCATGACTGATCAAAACTCGTTCTCATGGCTTTCTGATCCCTCTGCAACAGACATATGGTGCGCAATAAAATCACAGTATCGAATCGCAATACGTATAGAATCATGAGACTCGCAATGCTGATGCATATATCTTATCGTGAGGTTCCTGGCAATTCCCAGCCCAAGTTCATTTGCCACAACAAATCTCTTCGCTAGCAAACGCGATGTCTTCTCCAAAACGGCAATGTGTCTCCAGCAATGTTTACTTTTTTGACGTTCTATGGCATCTCCACTTTCCAAGCATATATGACCACATGTAATATTTTGGTAAGTGATGCAAATAGTGAACTATGTAGGGCCAGGATGTAAAATATATGTAGCTGCAGCAATTTCTCTTATCTGATATGGTAAGTAATGGGGCTTAATTTATAGCTCCCTAAGAGTTTGACGAACGGGTCCGTGAACGCGATTCCAGATATCTTTACCTCTGAATAAACTGCCTTTATTACACCATATCCACCCTGTCCAAAGTCTCTACTTGGTCTCAGTTGGTTCTCCAGTAAACTTGTGATTATCAACACTAACCTCATCGTTGTGGCGGCGGACAGCTAGCCTGTATCCCTCGTCATCCAGTTGAGTGAGTGGCAATGTCTTTTTTCGTTCGTACCAATTTTTGGAAAATCCTCGGGTGTAGGACTTTCCGCCTTTAGTAGAAACCTGTTGAATTATTAAATTTGGTCTGGGAGGTCCTAATTGTTTCGTTGCCAATTTATCTTCATTTGTTCGCCGACAAAAAGGAACTTCTTTCAAACAATCCACTCTTTTCTCAGTTACGTTCATGGTTACGTAACGTATGACGAAAGCGCGTAAGTGCAAGCCCACAGACACCCATTGAGATTGTATTGAAGGCTCTGAAATTTGAAAAAAAATAGATTTTACATGGGAGTCTATGACAGACTTCTGGGCGATTTTCAACCTGACTGAAATCGCCCCAAAAGGGGGGGGAGCCATTTGAAGCACGACTTTAGCCTGATTCGACATTTAGTGGCAGTGTGGCACTGTGGCAGATCAGACGTATAGATTACAACACTGATAACTACTGTTGCCGTGATATAATTGATTAGAAAAAAAATCCCTTCCTTTTCCCGTTTGGCAGTGCGTCGCCCATATCGCCCTATTGAACAGGCCGCCCCTGTTCACTTCATGTTTACAGAGATTCAAGTGAAAACATTGGAAACAGGAGCAGATTTACACACTCTCGCCTGCCCAAACCAAACCATTCATGAAATCATTTATGTAATATGTAAGATAGATAGAGTGATAAGTGGTGGGAATGAGTGTCAAGTGTCCTTTCGGTTTGACCAAAATGGTACAGACAGCACTTGTGACCCCAGAGTCACACTACAGACAGAGGATGACAGAGTGTTTCTACACATCACCAACATACAACCATCTGATGAAGGGAACTACACCTGTGAGTGTGTAAATCATGGAGGAATAAATGTTTTGCATCTCAACGTTTCTGTCAATGGTAAGTGTTTGGTTTGCGTGTCAGTGCAATAGATACAATCTGTAATATACATTTAGCTTGTACTGTGAACGTTTGGTCTCATTTAGTCATATCTACTATCTCAGTCCAAGTGAATTGGATTGTATGAAAAATAATCTTAAAATGGAGCATCTGTCAACAATGTTAATGACCAGGGTGGAGGAAGAGAAATGAGACATCTAGGATCACAATGAGTTCTTCCCTTTTATTTTTCAGGACCCCATGTCACAAACAACCTTTCTTTCCATTTCATGATAATAACAGCCTTTGCAGGATTTGTAGCCGTCGTTGTCGTTGCTGGAATAATCATGAGGAAATGTAATCTCAGGTAAGACATTCTTATTAGCTTGTTAAAAGAAGAATGTATGGGTATTTGACATATTTGATCATTTAATTAATCAATTACTTTGTTATGGGGGTACTGTAATAATATACTGTAAGTGCAATCTCAAATAACAATCTGATCTACAATTCATATAGAGAACTATGGGCCTCAGAAATATGCGGTAGGCTATAGATCCAAGATTTGTTTGTGCTCTCTTGCCAACTAAATGTCAATGGTGTGACAAAGAGCTGGTAAGAGAGCATAAACAGATCTGAGATCATATGAATACCCAAACGTATGACATAGGCTACTTGACCTACGTTTAAGTCTGACTCAACAAGGTTATTTTAGGTCACTAATAACTCCACTGTTGAAGCTTCTCACTTCCTGCCTTGTCAAAAATGAGTGCCGAAAAAAACAAAACCTACACTGGCAGGCACAAACACACACGTAGAGACATGTTGCTCCAGAAAGCATCCGCTGTGTAAAACCATGTGATGCTACGATCATTCACTAGTCTTCTCTTCTTATACACAGCAGGAGAACACAGCAGAAAGCAGGGTACACATTTAAAGAGGTGATGCAACAACACTGTCTTTTCTGTCAGGGCTGTAATTGCTTGATGTAACCTGGAGTCGTAAGACTGTCAGGGCTGTTATTGCTTGCTGTTCCCTTTAGTCATAAGACTGTCAGGGCTGTAATTGCTTGATGTTACCTGGAGTCGTAAGACTGTCAGGGCTGTAATTGCTTGATGTTACCTGGAGTCGTAAGACTGTCAGGGCTGTTATTGCTTGCTGTTACCTGGAGTCGTAAGGCATCTGCAACCTATGCTCTTTCACATTTTCAATTGAATTTGCCAACATTTTAAAATATTTCCACAGCCCCATATGACATTTTACAGTGTAATATGGTGACTATTGTTAATGTCTTTGTAGGAGGAGCAACAGGACATTGAGCCCGACAGCACGTTAACAAGGAGAGACAATGGGCTGTACTCAACTCTCCAGCTGCCACATTCTAACCTCTGACCCTCTGGCTCCGTTGACCAATGATGACATGGCATTAGACACCTTTTCGTATAACTAGGGGTTAAATAGTATTTCACCAGCCCTGGATATACAACTGTACAGTATATCCATTTACTGTATATCTTGAATGCTGTAATGCCCCTATTTCTACAGCTGATACACTTCGACTTTATATAGTTCCATTGATTGGTTGCTGACACCTGGCTGAATAGATCCTATACTGTAGATTGTCTTCTGTAGCTGTAAATATCAGCGCTTACTTTATGAATCCTGCACATTATGTTACATAGAACCAATGTTACTGTGGATAGATGATGTGATCATGTGAATCCTCTACATTACGTTAAGTATAACTAATGTTCCTGTGGACAGATGTGATCATGTGCATTTCCACCAGGTGTCAGTGTATTGCATTTGTAAAATATATTCCCTGCAGTAGAGAGTCATCATCAAAACATTCTTCATGACAATGTATTTTCCTTGCTTTCAATGTTCCATCTCTGTTGATCATGTAGTTCTACATGAATTACATGTTCAAGTGAAGAGATGTAACGACAAAACTAAACCATTCATTAAAACCTAATTTCCAATAAGATCCATTACCTCTATAGTAATATGTATACTGTATGGGCTGCATGTATCCAACCCAGCATGTCCACTCTAGAGGAAAACAAACCATTATCTACATTTGGCTTATATGATATAAGAACCCTTCAGCCTTGTGGTGGTGCAGAATCTATCATTGTTTGTGTCTAAAGAAGGAAGTGGACCTGTTGATGTGTCTGTGGTTGATCATTAGAACTCTCTGTGGTGAGTGCTCTGCAAAGACCCCAGTTACAAAGACCAAGATGCACTAGCAGAGGGCCAAGTGTTCCTGTGAAACAGTAAGACAGGTAGAAGCTAGACAACAGAACCACTTCGACCTCTCAGCTCCATTATAACTAAGTCAACCCAGCATGACTTTGGTTGGCTTTTTACCTTGTTCCTCTATTGAGCAAATAACGTTGAATAGAAGTTAAGTTCTGTACTCGGTCTGAGCAGACAATATTGAGTAATGTTTGGTTCTGCAGTTGGTCAGTATGTTTGTATGTCTGGTTCTGTTTCTGGTGCTGTGGGGTTCATGCACAGCTGTTGCATGTAAGAGGGATGTATCACATGATAGATTTAATTTCTTAACATCAGTAATTTTTGCAACAAACTGTGCTTTGCAGTTCTGATGCAGTTGGTCAATAAGAAATCAACTTTACTTTTTCACTTCACTACTAATGCTCAATCTAAATCCCACGAAACAGTACACTCACAATATGTTTCCCTTCATGTTCGCAGTGACTGAAGAAAATACATCCGTTTGCCCAACCCAAACACTTAGTGATTTATGTTTTGTAATATAAGATAGTGATAAGGGGGGGGGGGGGGGGGGGGGAATGACTGTCAAGTGTCGTTTCGGACCGACCATAAAGACTTCACTTGTGACCCCAGAGTCACACTACAATTAGAGAGTGGCAGAGCGTTTCTACACTTCACCAACATACAACCATCTGATGAAGGCAACTACACCTTTGAGTGTGTACATCATGGAGGAACAGAATTGTTTAATTTCAATATTTCTGTCAAAGTTAAGTGTTTGGTCTGATGGTGTACATTACCTCTGCTTACTTCACTGAAATTCAGTGACCTTTAAATTGCTACAGTGTGATAATGAAAGTCACAGTTGACAGACATTTTATAGGTGCAAAATCCTCTCACAACCTCCCTCACAACCTCCTCAAACTGCAGGGTCCTCATTTATAACCGTTATGTGAATTTCACATTAAATATGTGATGAGGTGGTGTTGAAGGAGTCAGGCACAGGAGGGTAAATCACAGAATAACAGGCTTTAATCCGCAAAATACAGGTTTACGCAGAACTGCGTCAAACACACTCCAGGGCACAAAACAGGTGCACTGGAAAATACAAGGCACACGGGAAAATACTCCCATCGAACAAAATACACGAGCTCCACCGAGCTTCACTAACCTTCACAATAAACAAATCACCCACAAGGACAAAGGGGGGAAAGAAAACACTTATACACAGGCTAATTAGGGGATTAGAACCAGGTGTGTGTGATAACGAGACAAGACATTTGTGATGATGATTAGGGCGGCAGTGGTTAGTACTCCGGTGACAACGAACGCCGAAGCCTGCCCGAACAAGGAGGGGGCAGCCTCGGCCGAAGTCGTGACAAAATACATGCATATGCCATTTCTGAAAAGACTGCACACCTACAAATAGAGATTTATAAACTTGGAGCACGCCATGCATGTTTCCCATTATAAATCAGACCTGTCCTGAAACTGTACTCATGTGAACAAGCATTAATACTCTGACTGAAAACGGCCATCATTCAGTTGTGAATGGTCCTGGTGCACCAAACAAAAAGTGTCAAGGGAAGCCAGTTTGGATTTGGCTTCAGACCAATCACATCACAAGCCAAACGTCTTAAAAAATATATATAATGTTGTGTTATTGTCCTTCAGTGGCTAGCTAGCAAAAAATCGTCCCTTTCCTAAATTAGCCATGGATTGAGATAGGGATTTGGACAGATTCATAGACCGTTTAGGCAACATGAAAGATGAGGATGGCGTTGGAGTTTCTCTACCAGTAGGGTGAGTCAACATGTTTTTTCTACTTGCACGCAGGCACACACACACACACAGAAATCAGTACCATGGACAGCATCTTTAGCTTAACTATATCGTTTTTGGTGTCTTTTATCTTTTAAGTGATTAGATGTTGAAATGTTGTAGTTGAAAAATGGTCCTGGAATAGTAGAGGCAGCTCCTGTTGTTCTTTGTGACTTGCGGTAACTCTCTGTGGCTCTAAATCAATAGTTGTTTAGTAGTCCGAAAATGTCAGAAACATTACCTTGCTTGACCATGCTGTAGGTCACTTAACTGTTTGTTATATTCAATATGTTTTGTAGACTTCACCGGACAAAAGTTTGCTCTCTGGTTTTGTAATGAAACAAAAGGTGTGGTTCAATTTATTCTGCCACTGTGTCTTCTTATTGTCTCGGCCTTTAGGCCTATATATCACGGTGTCAAGGCATATGAACTAACAGGATGTAGCGCAAACAACGCAATTATCACAACACATAGGTTGTAATATGTTTTTTTCTTTCCTGGATTGGCTTCCCCAGTGATTTTACCCATGCACCCCTACTGGCGCACATACATTCTGGGGTCTATTTTACAAGTATGCAGGTTTTATAAATGAGGCCCCTGGACTTTATTGCCCTGCTGTAGAGTTATCAATAAGGCATTGGTATATAAAGGTAATAATTGAATTGAATGATAATAATCTTATATCATAAACATAGCACTTGGTAGGTTCATTTCCTGTTATTAACCTGGAGGACCAGATCTAACCATTACTTACATACACTTGATATAACCCCCCTCAGTCTTGGGGTAATGTCAGAATCTATCATTGTTGCTAGAGCAGGAAGTGGACCACGGCACGTAGTTTATTATTATATGTGGTGGTTGCACTGCATAGCCCCTATACACAGCCCAATAGATGTATTGTCATTGTGAAAGTAACCCATAGAAGCTAGAATACATTTACACAGCACCATTTCCTCCTCTCGGCTGTCTCGAGATTATGTGACTGGGTCTAAACTGTCAAAGGACCATCACTTTGATGTGCTTAAGTTTGACTTTTGATCTGTTGTAGGTCTGAGCAGAAAATATTGGACTAACGTTTGGTTCTGCAGTTGGTCATTATGTGTGGAAGATGTGCATTCAGGCTTTCTCTGCTTCTGCTGGTGTGGGGTGTGTGCACAGCCTTTGAAGGTAAGACGTGTCCTTTTCTCAAACACACAGCATGCATGTACAGTTTGTACAACACTGAAAAAGGAAAGAGGTCCTGTCCTCATATTTCATTTGTGAAATGTTAATGCCATTAGCATTACCTCGTATAACAAGAGGAGTTCCACTCAGCACAATTTGAACTGCATTTAGGGAAGCAGCAACATTTGAGTCAGAATATTGTCATTAATTTATATATGTATAATTATTTTTTATGCACCTTTCTCTAATGCAATAAATTGTGCATTGCAATTGTAATGCTAGTCAATGCAAAACAAACATTTTAAATGAAACAATACACTTACAACCCATTTCCCTTCATGTTTACAGAGATTCACCAAGTGAAAACATTGGAAACAGGAGCAGATTTACACACTCTCGCCTGCCCAAACCAAATCAGTCATGAAATGATTTATGTAATATGTAAGATAGATAGAGTGATAAGTGGTGGGAATGAGTGTCAAGTGTCCTTTCGGTTTGAACAAAATGGTACCAACAGCACTTGTGACCCAAGAGTCACACTACAGACAGAGAGTGGTAGAGTGTTTCTATACATCACCAACATACAACCATCTCATGAAGGGAACTACACCTGTGAGTGTGTATTTCATGGAGTAACACATGTTTTGCATCTCAACGTTTTTATCAATGGTAAGTGTTTGGTTTGCGTGTCAGTGCAATAGATACAATATGTAATACACATTTAGCTTGTACTGTGAATGTTTGGTCTCATTTAGTCATATCTACTATCTCAGTCCAAGTTGAATTGGATTGTATGAAAAATAATCTTAAAATGGAGCATCTGTCAACAATGTTAATGACCAGGGTGGAGGAAGAGAAATGAGACATCTAGGATCACAATGAGTTCTTCCCTTTTATCTTTCAGGACCCCATGTCACAAACAACATTTCTTTCCATTTCATGATAATAACAGCCTTTGCAGGATTTGTAGCCGTCGTTGTCGTTGCTGGAATAATCATGAGGAAATGTAATCTCAGGTAAGACATTCTTATTAGCTTGTTAAAAGACGAATGTATGGGTATTTGACATATTTGATCATTTAATTAATCAATTACTTTGTTATGGAGGTACTGTAATAATATACTGTAAGTGCAATCTCAAATAACAATCTGATCTACAATTCA